AAGTTCGTTGCCTCGTCGACACTGGCACAGGAGTTAGCATTCTTTCAGCAAATCATAGCGATCGACCACGCAAAGCAGTTTCAAATTACAGGCGGCGAATTGGTGACCGATTGCTACGTATGGTAAGAGGTATGTTTAACTTAACGTGGGTTTACGCAAACCTATTCACAAGATCTTAGGTTTTGCAGATTTTTCCGTGGCAATCATTGGTTTAGACATGCTACAATATCATAATCACCTCATCGACAACATTGAACAGAGGTTAGAGGATAGAAATACATATTTGTCCGTCTGTGTAATTCCTTTCTCTGGTTGTAGGTTGTCTTCAGTCGCCGTAAGGCACGCGACCGATTCATGCTATCAACAAAAACTCAATAAGTAGCCCGAGGAGTACCGAATGCCGCCAAAATCACCGCGTATAACCAGCAATGTTACACACCACATCATGACTACAGCACCAGCAGTGTCTTCGAAGGCTCGCCGACTAGTTCCCGAAAAGCTGAGGTTGGCTAACACAGAATTCGACCACATGGTAGACTTAGAAATCAGTCGGCCATCAAACAGCCCATTGGGGTTTCTTTTGCACATGGTCCCTAAAAAAGACAGCAGTGAGTGGCGTTCATCTGGTAACTATCGGAGACCGGGTGTGGAAACCACTTCTGATCGTTACACATCGCCTCATATTCACGACTTGACGGCTACCTTGAGAAGCACAACAGTATTTTTTGGAAATCAACTCGATTAAAGCACGTTAACAAATTCCAAGATCTGCTGACGATATCCCCAAAACCGTCGTCATCACACCTTTTTGTCTCTACGAACTTTCCACAAGGCTTTTCGGCTTAAGAAATGCTGCGCAAACATTCCACAGATTGACCGATGGCATTTTCTAAGTTCTCAACTTCGCACATGTTGTTGACTGCTTAGTTGCAAGTTCGGACAAAGAATCTAATCTATAGCATCTGGACCTTGTCTCCAAAAGACTGTGAAAACACGGCATTACTCTAAGCATTTAGAACTGTCTATTCGGCGCCGACCCTCTAGATTTTTTCGAACTTGCTATTCATGCGCAAGGAATATAGCCTATAAAAGCAAAGTGACACACATTCTAGATTACCGACCACAAAAGTTAGGGAACTTGTGGCCAATGCAACGTATCTTGCACATCAGGACACTGAAGAACCCAATCGCAATAGATACATCCGACTGGGCTATCGTAGGAGTCTTACAACAATAGGTTAACTACACGTGGCATTCTTCCAGAGACGGTTGCAAGACAATGAATCGAGGTAAGGTATTGCATACACTTACTTGAACATTTTCCAAGGAATCTTACTTCATAAATTCGCTCAGCTTTAAGAAGAAGACGCCGAACTTCATCATGAGTTATCTTCGACAACCCTGAAACTACGTATTAAACAGATAGCAACAAATAAGGAAACCCTATTATGAGACACATCGACAGGTAGAGTTCGTCTAATCGTTCTGAAAAATTATCCTTGCAACGTCTTCAATACGTTGCACAAACCTTCTCATCCAGGTGTTTGTGCAACCACCAAGCTCACAGCAAAATGATTTCTCTGGTTTAGCATAAATAAAGATGTGAGAGATTGAGCACAATCCTGTGTAGGCTTTAAGAAATATTAGGCGATTAAACACAACAAATGTCCCTTAGGCTCATTCAAAACTCCCGACGCTGACTTCGACCATGGTCATCTAGATTCTGTAGAACCCCTACCAGATTCAAATGAATACTCTTATCTCTTATCTTGAGTAGACCGCTTCACTCCACGGCCAGAAGCAGTAGCTATCAAGCCTGTTGCTCCTGAAACAGTGGATCACGCCTTTATCTGTCGATGGAAAGCAAATTTCAGCTGTCCTTCAACCATCACAGCAGACCATGGACGCAAGTTAGTATCGGGACTTTTCCGTAGTCCGACCACACTATCAGGAATCACACGATTTAGAACGACCGCCTACCAATCACAAACAAACGGAAAGATAAAACGCTTTCGCTGATAACGAAATGCTTGACTTTCAGCAACATACGTTTCATAGTGAACCGATGCTCATCAACTCGTCTTACTAGGTATCCGCGATTCCGTTAAAGTTGACGTTAGATACACTGCAGCTCAACTCGTTTATGGAGAGAGACTCCTACTTCCAAAGAGAATTCGTGGATCTTTCATCTTCGATGAATATGGATCTAAACTCCTACATTAGCAGGTCTACAAATGCCATGCGTTCAGTTAAACCCTTTTCCACTCGACCGCAGTCAACTGATGTTTTGTTCAACCTGCCCTATAATAAATCATATGCGTCGCGACTCCCTTCGACAAACTCTCGGAACGACATATAAAAGACCCTTAGAAGTCCTTCAGCGTGAACCTAAATACTATATAATCGATAAGAACGGAAATAACGACAGCATCAGTATCGATCGCCTCAAAGCCGTGTGTTTAGAAGGAAACCCTATTCGTGCTGGTTTTTCTTCGGTACAATCGAAAGACACGAGTTTCGCAATTACGATACCATACCCAATAATCAACAATCACGAGGACAGATCGGTGGTGTCGGACAATCGACTCAAAATAATGCGTCCCGGAAGAAGAGTGAGGTTTCTAGAATACATAAACTACATACATCTCGTTTCGTCCCAACTTTTTTGTATTATTGTGTCAAAAAGCAAAACAAAAACGAAATATTTTTAATATGCTGATACATATTTATTCTTCATTCCAAAGGATATAATGTTTTGTTGTTAGTATGTGTATGCTTTTCTCTTTTCGAAAAGGAACAAAAACCATCCTACGAAAATCATTTTAACGTTATCGCACGTTTACGAAACGCATGTATAAAAGGTTATCTTCCTTTTTATCCCGTTTTATGTCTTTGAGTACTCACAAGTGTAATTTGACATACACTCGCATTTCTTTCATCTTTTTCTCGGACGGCTGGAATAGATGAAGAGATCGATGAAGTTTACAATGAATTTAAATAATGATTGTATCTATTTTTCATTACTATTTTGTATTACATGACTCCTTATGTTAAGAAAAGACGACCATACATTGCTGGACATTTCAAGCTATCAGAAGATTGTTTACCAATGACAAACTCGTTGAGTTTTAACTTCTGACTGACCACGTCTGAGAGTCATCATTGCCCCGTTAGGGGGTAGTGGTTTGTAGTGATAAAGAAATCCCCGAAATCAATACCTCTGTAAGTTCTCAACATCTGACGCTGACCGCATTAGTTTTACTGGACTCACCTAACTGAAGGTGTTTGGTCAAGCATCCACACCAGATCACGAGTGGGTATGACAGGCTTTACTTCTCCTACAATTGCTAGCCGGCTTACATTAGTCACTTCTCGACATACCGAAGTTCTATAGAATATGTCTTCAAATCTCTTCGCTTCTGACGTCTGATTGCACTGAGTTGGGATGTTTTGATTATTAAAGTTGTTACTGGATAAGGCGTTGTCAAAGTCCGAATACTTGTGTCATCTTTATAATGTTTGCGGACCATCGCTGAGATATGAAGTTTTGTGACGAGCAGGATTTACTGAAGCTCCTAAAGGACTTCATAGTAGTATGGGCCATGAACATTAAAAAAAAACATTTGGTGTCTCAAAATGTAAAATTCCATCCTCAAAAGACAAGCAAGTCATGATTTCTTTAAAGGCGTTTCTATACAGCGCAATCCAGGTTCATCGTCCACGAAGAGCTTGGAAACCAGCTAAAGTTACACTGAGAATGAAACCGAAATAGATGTATGAAGCTCACCCCGAAGTTTACAAGGTTCTTATCCCCACTCATCTTAAGAGATGTAAATCTCATAGATGAAGTACAGAAACAAACTGAAAAACAAGGTTTACAAGGTTCTTATCCTCACTCATCTTAAGAGATGCAAATCTCATAGATGAAGTACGGAAACAAACTGAAAAACAAATTTTTCGGAGATAGACCCTGATGTTTAGGATTTTTCTGTCTGGGTTGTAGGATATTAAGATGTGATCTGAAATGACTTAAAACACCAAGTGCACCCCAAACCACTCCAACACAAAGCTCCACGAGCGACTCCTACAAAAAGGAACATGACGTAGTGAGAGTTAAAGTGAGCCTACACCTGTTCTCTATTTCGAATGCTCCCCCAGCAGAGCTGACCATGGTTACCTTACTAGAGAGCTCCAAGAGGAAACTTGGCGAACACGGAGATCACTATCTTTCATGTGCATTAGCTTCGCATAATGCACGTCTCGTAACTTATCCCCCACTATCATTAGCACATCACCAGCTGATTTTTCTTCCGCCTCTTATCACTTCCGTTTACCTGTTATTAGTGCATTTCGGTTTCCTCACACTGCTTGCATTATTTATAAATTGATTAATTGTGAAGATTTTACTGATATCAAGTATTCGTCAGTACCACTATCCCAAACCTCTTCTTACGCGAGGAGTCTGAGGCCGTCCAAGTAGAAAGTCGGCATGGAACGGGTAAGGAAGTATTTTTCTGAACGATGGTTGATTTGTTGGAGTGTATGCAATCCAAGCTGACTATTTGCCATGAGAGTCGTGGAGCATGGCGTTTCCAAATGTCATCTGGTGTGAAGTGTCTGTCCAGTAAAGCTAGTGAGATCAGCATCAATCCTGAAGGCTTGGAAAGCAATTTTTCGGGATTTACTATTACTTCTTGTTCATTCAAATTAGTTGTCTATTATTTTAGCAGGTCGTAACCGACTAACCTACAGGCTGGTAATGTAATAGTAATTAATCTAGAAACACGGATGTCATCACAGAGATGAATTTACTTTGATCCGAAGGTATCAAAACTCACAAATAACTACCAAACTAACTACAACTGGTACATTGGAGTGGCTTGACTACTGCACATCGGACGTTGCAAGAGACCTGTAACCATACCAAAACAACGAAAATTGAACCTAAAAATTTTGTTGTCTTGCACTAACTCACCGAAATCTGTCGGATCGTTCAGGTGGGAGAGTGTTTTAATCACTCAAATTTAGTTGATACATTCACGCTTTTCTGTGTGACGGTTAAGAATTCTGTTGGAGTAAATGAGACATTGTTTGGTTTGTGTATAAGGTAATAGATACCAGCTAGAGCTCACTTGAAATTTACACGGAATTTCGTAAGTTTGTTGTTCTTCAATACTTGAGATTGGTGCTGTTCATTCGACTTAAGCTTTATTTGTTTAGTTTTAGTTAAACAATCTGCACATAATGAACCTCAATGTATTAGACATTATAGTCCTCGTGATATATTTTGTAGCTTTATTGTGTACTGGAATATATGTAAGTTCTGTTGTGTTTTGTAAAATAATAGTTTTTATCAGGCATTGTTTGCATCCAGAAGAGGGACTGTTACTGGTTATTTTTTAGCTGGCCGGTTTATGACATGGCTTCCTGTAAGTCTTCTATGTTGATTAAATAATAACAAAGGTCGGTGCATCATTATTTGCTAGTAACATTGGAAGCGAACATTTCATTGGTTTAGCTGGATCAGGAGCGGCAGCTGGCATAGCAGTCGGCGCTTTTGAACTGAATGTGAGTAAAGTTTTCAGTAACTCACTTATTGCATAAAAACAAACTATCAGCAAGATATTATCTTATTGCCATATCATTTATTCAACATATAGGTTATAAAAATCTCATTATTTATTCATCTTTCGTCATAACCTTATGATAAAATGACATGCTGTACTTTACTTTTAAGGCATCAATTTTACTTCAACTTCTTGGGTGGGTATTCCTACCTGTGTATATTGCAAGTGGAGTACGTTGCCGTCGGATCATATAATTTCTTATAGGTATTTACGTTGCCCGAGTACATGAAGAAACGATATGGCGGAGAAAGAATACATATGTATCTCGCTCTTTTGTCTCTCATACTATATATTTTTACAAAGATTTCTGTAAGTTGACAGATTTTAACCTATTCATCTGTGTACTTTTGGCCATTTGAAGTGTATTCATGCGGATATTTGTATATTTATTTGACATATATTTATACAAAGATGTTATCGCTGATATATTCTCCATTTTTGATCAACACACCCAACTACTTCACTCACTAGCCAGAGTAGGCATCGATGCAGATGGCCACTGAAGATTTATTTGGCATTTAGAGGATACGTGACTTGGCCCAAACACTTACATTGTTAATCAAAATATTGAAAAAATTCCACCTTTTGCCTTGTCTTCACTAACCCTAGTCATGTAGTCATCATCAATACAAAATCTGGAATATATGTGTATTCTGTTTGCCATAACTTACACAAAAACATAGAAAAATAAGATGAATAAGATGAGAAGCAAAAGAAAAGACTTGATTTTAGCTACAACGTGCATCGAGACACAAAAGATACTGGTCAATAGGAGGAAATGATCTCGAATAATAGAGAACGAGCGATGATATTTAACCTGAAATTTAATTAAAGGTAAAGTACTAATGTGATTTTACCGTCGAGATAGATTTTTGGCTATGTTGTCAAACACTGCCATTCATTTAATTTTGGTATTACATTAGTCAGGCTTAAAGTGTACCGTTTTCTAGAGGTAAGTAGTGATGGATCTCAATAAAAATGAGAAATTGAAATGCCCTGATAATCGTGAATTAATATGACCGATCCGAATGTTTTTGACTATACGATTATGTTGATTTTTCAGTCACACCAAGGGGGGAATTGCGTAACTGAAGCATAACTAGTGGACAGTTAAAATTATTTCCAAAGTGTCCCGTCCATCATTCTCATTGGTTAGCTCGAAAATAGGCAAAACTTGTATCCCTTCTTACGACTGCTTCACTAGCTGTGAACTCAATCAGTCTTAACGGCTGTCTGGCGTTAAATATTCCTAATACTTTGAGATTAGATTTTGGTTGGAGGTAGTCGACAGGAAACCCTGGACCCGGTTTTCGTGCTATTTGGTACTCGTCAGCAAGGTGTACCTGTAATCTTGAGGGAACTGGTGCTCTCTGGCGGATTCGATCGCTTGTCATCCAGCTTCACAGCCAGAGACGTTACCACTGAGATATCCGAGCCGCAACTGACCTCCTGTAGGACTGAGATGTAATCACTATTGATTGATCACTGGGTGGCGACCAATGTTATGCGTGTATAGTCCTTATTAGTGCAGATCGAATGCAACATGATCGATAGCATTCGGTCTGCACTAATAAGGACTAGACATGCATGACATTGATCGCCACCCAGTGATCAATCACTCGTGATCCTTAATACTTTCTCTACCTCATTTGTTTTTGTTACGCACTGTTGCTCTCAGTCACTGTTAAGAAGTTCTAAATTATATTTTAAAGTCTGCTTCTGTCATAGTTTTCATAGCCCATCAGCGTGAGTTTCAAAGCTAGTATCAAACTAGTTTCTTGTTTCTGATACACCAATACTTGAGGTCATCTCTTGGGGGCATTTTTACTGAGATTTTCCTAAATCTAGTAGAACGCATACAGACACTTGTTTGCACCAATGCATTATTAGAGTTCACATATGTGCTAAAGATGGAATACTAGCATCATAGTCTATCCAAGTTCGGATTTAGATAGTATGGTCTAATTTTACCCGCCGGTGAATGAATTTCCGGATTCGCAAGCCAGTTCATTCTTTTGAATCAGTAACTCATACTTATTATAAGTAAATAGTTATGTGAACATAAATACAGCAGCCAGTCAATGCCATGTATTCTAAGGGCTGGAAAGTATCATAAAAAATAAAGTCTAGATCATCATGTTATCAGAAAATCAATAAATTCATGTCAAGAAAAGATATTTAAATACAAATACTAAGAAGCTTAGGGTATTGCATACATCTTGAAACCAAAAGCGATAACTGAAGATCGAATTTACTACATAATGACTATGTTTCATTTCTCTTAACAGTCAAAAACACAGTTTGCGGAGTTTGTTAGAAACATTATTTGAAGATAAGTTTTTATTTAGTGTTGTTAAAAATCTGAACTTCAATTCCTTCCAATTAGACTTTGAGGTCAGATAACTTTTTTAGATGAACAATATTATTGTTTTTGCACCACAAACATGATCAAAGTCTATTCCATCAAAGTGTGCTAAGACATCGTCTTTGAAAATAAAGCTAAACCACCCCCATTTCCTAACCTGGCTCAGACTCTTTACAACTTTTATGTACTAGCTCAAAATGTGAAAGCGTAAAATCCTTGAAACACGTTATATAATATTTGGACAACCTGTAAAAATAACAGTCACCCGAATCTAATCGCTTTTGTTTCCTTGGGTTACAGTTGGAAGTAACATGAAAAGGAGCTCTTGTCGTTTTATCGCCAACTGTATCTATAAATTTACGTGTACCTGCCAAAGCAGCTACATCGGCCGAACTGATAGGAGAGCATATCTTAGATTTTTTGAACATGTTCCAAAAAGTCTTAGAACAAGTGAAGGAAAGACTGAATAGTGCAATCACCAAACATCTCCTTGATACAGGACATCAGGTACCTCAGGTACATCAGATACCTTACAATCCTTTAGGGTGATTAGTAAGCAGCCAAACTCCAGTCTTCTGAAGTTTGCTGAAGCCGTTGCCATCAGACGTCAAAAACCTGACCTGTGTGTTCAAAAGGAGACGGTTGTTAATCTTTCGTTGCCTTGGTGACAAATATTCTGTCGCTGCACCTTAAAATTTTCTTCTTTTGTATTTATTACGTCATTGATTTTATTTTTTTATTTTTTAACTATCTTTAAAATTAATGATCTTTCAAATGAACTCTACTCACTATATTTCCATCAATGTTAATTCATCATGTAACCAACTGTTTCTAACCCCTTTTGAACTGTTATCACAATTAATGCTGTAGAATATTCTTTCACATTAGGTATATATTTACAGTATTTAGTCTGTTAATTTCATTTACACCTATGATATACTTTACGAATATGTCTTCAATATAACTTCCAAACAAACCCTCCCATGTAAGCAATTTAAACCCATTATGTAATTATGATTTTTAAATATCACAGGTTGTAAGCGGCTGACGAGAACCTACCAAATAAACTGAATTCATGCTATTCAGCTAGAATCTTTGTTCTTGCTCTTTTCAAAATGATAAAGGAAACTATGTGTATGAAATAATTTGTTACCAATAGTTGATATTATCCATGCAAGTATATAATTGTAAACTGTTGATTTTAGGTCAATTTATATTCAGGTTCACTGTTTTTAACTGAAGCATTAAAATGGAATACTTGGGCATCAATAGTTATGCTGCTTTTCCTGACTGGTCTTATTACTGTTACCGGTAAGATTCCGTGGGTATTTTGTCTAAATTTTAAACAAATATCAAGATGTATTCGAATCGTTACGTTTATTTGAATAAGTTATTATAGTCTCTGAACGACCGAAATTGTGTCTAACAAAATATACAATAATCGATTAGTAGGTTTCATAATCATCAATGTACGTTGGCTTTATATACTGTTTTGCTGGGTGTGGGCAGTTTTATAAAACGAATTTAAATGACCAACCTTATGCATTTCAGTTTACTCTATTGTATTTGCTTAAATATAGGAGTTTCGTTGTAAGATCGTTCCTAACGAGTGTCAAAAGGAAACGTAAGTGTCATGTTCATTTTTGTCATTATAAAAGTTTTTAAATCAATCTCAATTTATATAGAAAATACAAATATTTATTTGCGATCCTTGCTGTTCAACTTACCGCTTTACGTGTGAAAAGGAGTATTACGTCCTTGGGTTGCTGAAATAGACTTCAAAATAAATAATTTCACTTCGAAGAAAAATTCATAACTTTTCTGTAAAGAAGTATTTTTGGACAGAGATCTACTCTTTGAATAAAAAGCACAAAAAAGGTTATAATACTCTCCTATCATTCTCTTTGAAACCCTGTTTCTTCTATTATGCAAAAGCACAAACTACTTCAGTCTACATGATTTGGTTAGGTATTGATGCAAATGAATGCTGAAGCAATATTTGACATTTAGACAAAGAATAGCCCATCTAAAACACTTTGTCGGGAACGTTAATCTAAAACTACTTACAAGTCATCTTTATGTAAGGGAATCGGAATTCTAGTTCCTAAGATCGCCGCATTGGTAATCCCTTCTATATACCTTATACAAAACACCATTTCTTTCTCTTTCGATAAAAAATAGTTACTCTATCTTTGAGGTCTTTGTACATTAGTTTATATGCATATGCTGTATGCTTAAGTCAATGTTCTTTGGTCTTCACTTGTGTATCTTCATGACACAAGCTTTCTAGAGTAGACAGGGCTAGGATTAAAGAGGAATTGTCTTATCTCAGTATTCAACTTACATTCAGGAGCTATTATCGTCAATTTCAAGACTTATCACTGTCATAGTGTTTCACTTGGCACCAAGAGAGCCTTGTATTTTGAATTTTCTTCACAAAACCGAGTCATTTAGTCATCGCCAATACAAAACCTGGAATATATGTGTGATCTGTTCGCCATAACTTACACGACAACATAGAAAAAGAAGACAAATAAGATGAGAAGCAAAAGAGAAGACTTGGTTTTAGCTACAACGTGTATCGAGACACAAGAGATATTGGTCAATAGGAGGAAATGATCTCGAATAATAGAGAACGAGGAATGATATTTAACTCGGGTTTATTCAAAACCACTCCACACAGATCAGGTATTTAACTACAATGACGTTAAAGCTTTGTTTAAATTTTGAGGGTCCTCTGCATCACGTCTACACTATGAGAAAATGAAGAAAAATATCAAATGACATCTTAAAATATTATCTATCCGCACAACTTCTCCAAAGAATGTCTATCAAACTCATCAACAGGGACAGAATTAAGTGTCCAAACCGACAACAAACAACTTACGGGAAATTAAATCCAGATTATTACATCTCTTCGAAATAGGCATAGCTGATAAACCAATCAGTTTTATACCAACCAAATTATAAAGTGAAAAAAGAAAGAATGGCAAACACTGTTTAGACAATAAACTGCCCTAACTGCAAGAAACATTAAATCGAACGAAGTGGCTGCGCTCTTCAGCTTCGTCTGCGTTAACACCAACCAGCGATGTATTTCGCTTATATCATTGGTGGTAGACAATTGTGAAGACACGCTCAACTGGGAAAATGATGAGATCTGGAAGAGAGGAACTACCAAGATAACTAGATAATTTCTAGAAACTTGGCACTCATTTCAGTCAACAATCAATAAACATATCAAAATCGATCCAATTTAATAATCATTTAGAGGAATCAATTAAAAAATCAAGATTCAGGTCAGTGAAAGACAATCAAGATAAATATTCAAGCGATGACAAAATAGAGGTCAACAGCATTTTATCAAGCTCAACATAACAAACTGCTAGTCATATGTAGATAAATCCATGTACCTCACTTCTATCTGAAGTTTGCTCTGATGATGTCTTCTGGAAAATAATGAGTTTCACATTTTAAACCTAGCTCAGTGAACATAACTCAATCAAAATCCCAATAATTCTCCAACTGTTTGCAATTGGATCAGTTTGTCGTTTAGGGTTAAGCTACCATTCTTGGTCGGATTGCTATATTTGTTTTATTTATTCAACTCACGTACAAGGTACAGTGAATAGATTCTAACGTATTGAGAACTATTCATAGTTAATAGAAATAAATATCCCTCAATGGAATGATTTCAACATGAATAATATAGGCCTTCAGATTGGATATAATGATGTCTTATTTTCCTATTTAAAGCAAAAAGCAGAAATAAGCATAGAAAACTAGTCAGTTTTAACTCATGTCATGCATGACCTTAGTATTCCATAAATCACGCATTAATGTTAAATAGAATTTAATCAGTTTTTAGATGACTAAACTGATAAATGTATTGAACACTCCAGAGGTGATAAACTGATACTTACTCACTTATACCTGTTATTTCTCGTGGAGGAGCATGGGCCGCCCACCAGCACTCTTCATCTAACCCTGTCCTGGGCAATCCTTTCCAGCTCTTTCCGGTTGTAATTCATCCTTTTCATATCTGCTTCTACTTTCCATAGTAATAAATTGATGAATTTCGTTGAATTTTGAAACAATTATCATCAACGATGAATTCCAGTCACAAATAAAACTACATAAAGGGATAGGTATTTAGGTTTATTATAAATTGCTTCACTCAAATGTATACATAGTTAGTCTCAGAATTTAATTCTTATCTTCATTTAGAATTCTTTTTCATCAAGCAGATTATGGCTTTAAATGATCATTATATTGTGTTGAATTTACTGTCATACTTGAATTCCTACTGTAAGACACGACAAGTATCAATAACTCTATTCTACTAGTTAAGTTAAGTGAGTTCTATCCAGAAACAATGGAAACTATCGTATTTAACCAGCTGTAACGGTCTCAAATCAGTTATAATGGTCTGACTCTACCGCATCTGTGACAGTACGGGCAAGAAAATCGTAAGAATATTGAGGTGTAGTTTGCTATACAAATTACATTGTCTGGTATTTGATGGCATTCCTGAAACTGATATGGTTTATATCTTTGAGACCGCCGGTTTTTCTGACAAATACTAGAGTTATGTAATTTGATTAGCAAGATATTGAATTGTGTACGCGAATCGCTGAAGCAACCGTTATTAAAACTAGGGGTGATACAAAAGTTTTTAGCAGTGTGTAAATGAAAAAACAAGATTTAGATAGATTTTTCGCAAGTTTTAGAGTCCTTATACCAGCAAAAAAAGCAATCACGAGGATATGTTTTACAGATTGACTGTTTAGTAATAGATCGAATCTTCATTATTCAAAACACGAAATGAGCTGTTCTATATCTACCGAGGCAGAGTATATGGAAGTAATCAGTAACAGCCACTAAGTAAGTTGAAGATGGTAGAGTTTTCAGGAGACATAAGATTTCTGAACAAGCTGTACACTTCTTTATTCGTTTCAGTAGTGAAACGGGAAAAGATTTTATCTGAATTGCTTGATCAACATTATTTATCAATCCATTGTAAACAGCCTGTGGAAATACACAGAAAGGTGACTGTTCATCGTTTTGTTATGATGAGCAGTGTTCAAGATCTGATACTGATATACAACATCCTACGCATTAACCACTCAAACTGACTATTTGGGTGAGAAGACAAGATTGGAATAGGAAGTTTGTTGAGCCACCGAACAATATCCATGTGGAGGATCCCCAAACCATGAAAAATATTGTTCAGAATAATGTCAATATTAATGCATAATGAAGATAATCGATTTCATTTATTCACTCTTAATTGTTTCAGGTGGATTAGCAGCTGTTCTATATACAGATACACTACAGTTTTTCGTGATGATAATTGGTGCTTTAATATTAGCGATAATAAGTAAGTTTATTGACTAACTACTATTGAAGCTTTAAAGCTCAAACAATTTTGAGATTGTCATTGAAAATGGATTTATCTGGAGTAACTTATTCGATTCTTATTTTTCCTATCAAAACGAATGTATTTCTCAATAGATATCAAGAACTGGAACTCTATATTTAACAGTTTCAAAAATACCAATTACAAATTACCTCTGATTTGCTTCTCAGCTCTCTGAGCTAAGATCATGTGTGTTCTGATTTAATGGTGATAGCTAATTCTTTATTGTCATATTCTTTATTTATTTTTTAGCCCTAATATAATACCAATAGCTCCCGTTAAGTTGGTTAATTACTTGAAATATGAGAATCATTAAGCAGTTGTTGCCTATCCATTAACGTAATGAAAAATTGCATACAAACGGCAATATAGAGATGAAGATGGATTCGACGATGAATTTAACATTCATACCATATGATGATGTAGAACAAGATAGTTCACTAATTCTAATGGTTTGACGAGTTTATACTATAAGTCTATACCAAACAAATATCTAATGCCATAACTAAAAGAGAATTAATACTATTCTTCATCAGCACTTAATGGTGTCGTTATTAAGATTAGCGTATGATATAAAATTTACTGTACAAGTCATTTCTCCAACTAACCAGTATATAGAAATTTTAAAACTAATCTCCCTGTCAATAAAGGTTAAATATTATTTGGCAGTATATACTTTAGTGATGTTCTAATGCTAAGATCTGATTTATACTATATAAGCTCATTAGAATCAATCCGAGAACAATTCGAAATATTTTATTGATTTTTATAAATATGCAAACAAGAGCTATTCAAAGTTTATAGAAATACAACCGCCGTCTACCTTGATGCATGATGTTGGTTGCTACAGCAACTTGAACCGATATATATGTGTCAGGTCTAATGTTACTAATAACTGATTGAATTTGATTTTTTATTCTCAAAATTCTAAAGAAATAGCATGTTGGATAGCTCATTTTAGAAGGTTCATTTGTCCCAACACATGTTGTTTCGTAGTGGCTAGTAATGGAGTCCACGATTGATTATTGATTTCATTAAGAGTTTGTTAGCTAGCTATCTGGGTTGATAGTAGATCGTTTCATGGTTTTAAACAGAGCAAGAACAATAAACTTCGAAGAATAAAATAATCAGTCTTCCTATGGCATGGTAACTAAGACTTAATCAAATAACCATTGAGTTTTTTAAGAGAGTTTTTCGTCTTCTAATTTTCATCTTCAACATGTTCTTACTGATTTTCATACGAATTTCATTTTCCTTTCTATTCATTTGGAATAGTTGTACAACCTCTTAGTAATTTTCTTACACTTATGAAGTCCCCTTTTACTTTCGCTATGACTACTAGTAACTACAACATCGCCTGTTCTCCTCCGAGCTATTACTTCCCAACATATAAATGCAGTGTCATGCGCAACACAAAACCTGACAAGTTTATACAGCTGCAAGTTGCTATACCACATCGCCGGTAAGAGTAGAGGGTATTCGTAGGTTACTAGTATTTGATCTTAGGTGTCTTCGATGCATGCTTGTATATCCTGGGACCAACAAGTAAGTAATGGAGTTGTTAGGAAACGGGCACTGGGTAAGGATGACAAATCAATTGATGAAGTAGTGAAACTTCATCAATTGAGATGACTGGGACATGTGTTACGTATGCCCAACCAACGACTGTCCCGTCGAGCGACGTATCATGGTGTAGGAGTAGGTTGGAAGAAAGCTAGGTGTGGCCAGACCAAAACATGGCACAAATTCATGAAGTCACTGACAAGTGGACTGAGCCATGTTGGTAGGTGTAAACTACCTGGTTGAGATCGGCGAGACGATAGCAACTGGTGGTTAGAGACCTTGAATTACATGGTTCAAAGTCGTTTGCAATTATGCAGGTGCATCCACTCCTTATGTTCTCCCAAATTCTAATCCTCTAAATTCTTCATGTCCCTTTATTTTTTTCCCTTTGCGAATTTATTTCACTGTATTATACTCTTTGAATAACATCTTCAAACCCTAATGTTTCTTGTTGCTGCTTATACTTTTACTACCTCTATCACTACGTGATTTGAATCGACCACTGCACCACTGTGCTAATGTGGTATGACAACTCGAACTGATGTACGTACGTACGAAGTTCTACGTTGTTACTGACTGACTGACTTTAGCACAACAAAAGTGAATCGCCAGGGAGAATCTCGGAGTAGAAGACGTAATAACAGTATTATTCATTATAGAAGTTAAGGATCGAAAATACGATCCCGGAAAAAATAAATTTAGTAAAATAATCAGACGAATTTATGAAGAATTTAAAATCTTAGGATCTAAAAGAAGACAGAAAGTGGATACACCTGCGAACGATTTTGAGCCGTGTCATCCAAGGTCTCCAATCACAAATTACGATAATCACACGTGCTTTATCTAGTTGATCCGAATCTACCTGGATGGATAACTCCAAATGTCAATGTCTTTATGGAGTAATGCCATGTTTTGACATTGGTACGATCTATTTTGTTGAAGATACAGTTTAAAAATAAGAATGTTAAACGTTTATTTTTTTTAGAATTTAAAACACAACTATTCAAAAGACGAAAACGTCAATACTACTGTAATCAAGAAACGTTAAGTATCCGTCAAACGCAAAGTGTGAAACAATACCTAGATTTCTCTTCAAATATCATTGCAAATACTATGGTTACAAATATTTTTTAAGGAATTTCACAAATGGTCGGTTTAGTTATATTTACACGTAAACGCTGAAATTTCATTTTTCTGTTTATTTATCTAGGCTACATAAATGTTGGAGGCTTTAGTGGTGTCCTTTCTTCTTATGGTCATGCTATAGCCCCGATAAATATCTCATCAAGTACAGATTCAGACATAATAATCAGTTTGGCGAATGTTCTTAACACAACAAATTATACTTCACTAACTCAATTGGCAAGTTCACCAGATGTCCCTTCTAGTTTGAGATGTAGTCTACCACCTGAAAATGCATTTGTATTATTACGTGGAATTGATGATCCTGATATGCCATGGCTTGGGTTTTTACTTGGTCAAACACCTGCATCTATATGGTATTGGTGTACTGATCAGGTATGTCATCGGAAATAACAATTAACCAAGTTGTATACCTTGAAAGATGACCGTATATTATTTTATTGTTAACACTTGTTTGTAGTTCAATTGAATATCAATGTGTAATGAAAGGTCAAAAATAACAGGGAATACTAAACTTTCCAAATATGTTTATTTACTTTAGCCTAGAATATTATTGCTTAGGAGCAGTTATATAATCCTCAAATTACTGTAATCAGTTCTTATACTTGATTTTATGGCCTAGTTATATATATATTTTGGGTATCAGATATAAACCTTTTGGACTAGAACCAGTAGCAATGATCTACCTCTATGCTTTGATGATAACGATAATAATGACATAAATTCACAACTGCGCATAAGCTATGAGTAACACTCAGTAGCTAGGTGGATAACGCGATGGCGTTTGAAGCGAACGGTACTACTGGGTTCGAGTCCTAAACATCAACTCTGAGATGTAGGTACATCCATCTGACGAGTCTCAAATAGGACGAAACGTGTGTCAAACTAGGTTCCACTACTAGCCACTATCCATCTTTGCTTTAGAAAAGCTTGTAACTTAAGGCTTTATCGAGGTAATCCGTACAGTATGTTTCATTTATCCACTTCTCCTTTTTTACAGCTTTTCTTTATTGTATAACTTAACAGTTAAACTTTTTTGTTTTTGTTTAATACAATACAGATGATGGTACAACGTGTTTTAGCTGCAAAAAGTTTATCACATGCTCAAGGTGCCACATTAATGGCCGGTCTTATTAAACAGTTACCTTTATTTTTAATTGTAATACCTGGAATGATAAGTCGAATATTGTTTCCAGGTAAATAAAATGTTATTTCTGTACAATTTAGTTTCAAATGTATTGTGTTTGAGTTTATTAGTTTTTTGAAAGGTTTAGTTTATTTCATAGTTTCCGATGTAAGCCAATTCTTATTTAGTCTATCCTTTTTAGTTTTTGAGAAACCTGTATAACTAGTTGAGAAAACGGTTCATCAGTAACATCCAATTCTTTGTTAACTCTTGACTTACCTATAGGAATGTTAAAAGAGTACCTGTCTCCCTGATGAGTCAGAATAGTTGTTAAACATAATCTGTTGTCACTATCCTTTCTATCTCTTTTGAGTCCATTGTTCACCACTGTGCACAATAATTACGTAAATTTTAGCCAGCTTACTTTATAGTTGACATTGACCTTCATCGTTCTCCAAGACTGTCAAAATGAGTTTTTCAAGATTTATCAATTCAGCATATGCCACTGGAACTCAATGATGTTTCACAATCATTGATTCGGTACCTTTTCAAGATCTGTCGCTAGCGAAAGAAATCTGTGTAGTAATGTGTGGTACAAAGTTTTAAAAACCAATCTTTTATACCCTTTCTCCTCTCTTGTGGTAAGGCAGCATCACTTCAAATGCTAGTTACCTGAGAAAACACATTACTACCGTCACATCTCAGTACAGTCAGCAGTGAAACCTCATCTTTCGACCATAATATTTCTGCCCGTAGTCCCACTGCTCTTTATTCAACCTGCCTATCATTACTTACTTACTTACTAACTTACTCCTGTTACTCCCAGTGGAACATAGGCCACCAACCAGTATTCTCCAACCGACTCTATCCTGAACCTTTCTTTCCGATTCTATACAATGCTTGTTCATTCTTCTCATATCTACCTCCATTTCTCGGCGTAATGCGTTCTTTGGTCTTCCTCTTCTCCTTTGGTCTTGACGATTCCAAATGAGGGCTTACCTTGTAACGCACTTAGGTGCTTTCCTCAATGTGTATCCCATCCACTTCCAGCGCTTATTCCCGATTTCTTCCTCCGTTGTGATCTGGTTTGTTCTCCTCACAGTAGGTTGTTGCTGATAATGTCTGGTCAACGGATCCGAAGTGTTTTGCGTAGACAGCTGTTAATAAACACTTGTATGTTCTGGATGATGTCTTTCGTAGTTGTTCAAGTTTCTGCTCTATACAGTAGAACTGTTTTGACATTTGTATTGAAAATTTTGACTTTGTTGTTGGTTGATAGTTGTTTTGAGTTCCAGATGTTTTTCAGTTGTAGATATACTGCTCTTCCTTTGCTAATCCGTTCCTTCACATCTGTTTCTGATTCACAGTGTTCGTCAATGTTGCTGCCCAGATACGTAAAGGTTTTTACATTTTCCAAAGCTTCTCCATCAAGTGTAGTTTGATTGGTATATGTTGTGTTGTACCGGAGAATCTTGCTTTTCCATTTTTGTATGTTAGGACCTACTGCTGCTCAGTCTGCTGCTACACTGGTCGCCAAACTTCGCCTGGAGCCCTTCTGATGTTACTGTCGGTCCCAAGCCCAGATAAAGGAGGGTGGTTGGGTATAGGGTTATAGACCCCATTCCGTAGAAAACTAACTCGCTAAAAATAAAACACTAACCCCAACCTGCCCAGCATAGTAGGACTTAAATGAATAATTGTTCCAGCCAATATAGTTTAATTGTATCGTCCTAAAATAGTCACAGTTATGGTTGATCACTATTTAGTGAAATGTTGGATTATTAACTACTGAATAATTGTTGAATACATTGACAAATTCAATGAAGACCAAGTCTAGATTTATGTTCTTGATGCATTAAAGTATCAGGGACAGATTTCATAAACTATTTTACACATTTGTTATTGTACATATCATAGTGACATTGCAGTTATCGCACTATCTAGGATTTAGAAATGATCAAATGTGGTAGTGTGCGTATATGTTTGTCAAAACTACCGATAAAGATCTTAATTGAACAGTAAGTTTTTTATTACAGTGATCAATCTAATTTACATATTATTATTCGTCATATTCATAGATAAACAAGCGTACAAGAAGCAATACATAACTAACTAAACAAACTAAAATCAGTTGAATAGATAAACACAATATAAGATAGTGTATAATATATGTTACTTAAGCTGATAGATATAAGTAGTATATTACAGCAAACAGTAGTGAAATGCCTACCAGCAAAAAATTAAAATGAAGAGAACATGAAGTAAATCGGAGAGCCATTGGAATAACAAATAATCAGAGGAATCATGAAGTATGTAAAAGACAAAGCAAACATGTGTAAGTGATGTATTTAATGTACGATTTTCATAATTTTCTGGTTAGCGTTTTTTTAGCGAGTCGCTAACCCCATGCCCAGCCCCCTTCCTTTATCCGGGCTTGGGACCAGCAGTAACCTCAGAGAGGCTTCAGGCTGAGTTATGATTTTTATACTTGACTAAAATATTTTAATTGTAGAATTAGATATTTGCTTTTATCTCTTCAATATCTCTTATTTTCTACTGTTTATCAGATGTGATTGGTTGTAAACCTGGACCAGATTGTTATCGAATATGCGGACAAAAAAGTGGATGTTCAAATTTAGCCTATCCGAAACTTGTAATTAATATTATGCCATCAGGTTTGATGAAATAACCATTTTCCTTTTAACCAATTGAATTTCTTATTCATAATTTAAATACTGAATAGATATTCCTACAAAGTGTAAACAAATAATATAACTGTGTGTATCACCTATGAATCACTCTCTACTGTCTAATTCTCAAACTTTATCAAGTTGGCTATAGTTTTAGATCAACTGGATAATCATTATATGTCTGAACTAAGTGAATGGCTTCTTTATTCTTGCTTAAACCGTTTCAGTAGGATTTACGCTTAACGGCACAGTAGATATCACTTAATGCATTCACGCCTCACGAGTATCGTCATTGGTTGTAAACTTGGACCAGTTTGTTTTCGAACAAAAAGCTTGTGACTCAAAGCAATATTGACGCATTCCACACGGGATGCATATATTTTAACAAGAGACTGATCTATTGCAGTCCTAAACATCAATGGGAAGATTCAGGTAAATAATATCAAGTGAATTCATACGTCAATCCATTGCACAAGCAAGTGGCTGTTAGTAATCAGTAGCTAAGTTGATAACGCGATGGCGTTTGAAGCGAATGTTACTGGTTTTGAGTCCCGGAGTGAACATCAATTCTGAGGTATAGGTACACCCAACTGACGAGTCCTAAATAGGACGAAACGTGTCAAACTGGATTCCACTACTAGTCACTATCCATCCTTGCTTATAAAGCTTGTGACTTAAGGCAATATCGAGGCAGTATACACATGTTCCAATAAGAGACTGATCAATTTCAGTTCTTAACGACAATTGGATATAAGCAAATGTATCAAGTGAATCCAAAGAAGCGGATGCTCAAATTTAGCCTATCCGAAACTTGTCATTAATATTATGTCATCAGGTTTTATGAAATACGCTTACATTATTTCTATTCCACTGTCATCCTATTTATATTATTACCGTTTTTCTTATAATTAGTTGAATTTGCTATTCATATTTTAAATACTGATTAGATATTCCTATGAAATGTAAACAAATTATATAACTGTGTGTAGCGCCTATCAGTCACTAGATGATAATCAATATCTATCTGATATTTAATTCTCAAAGCATATCAAGTGAAATTGGTAAAACTTACAAAAATGTATCTTGAATATGTCGACTCAGGATACTGTTATATCTTGTGTCTGCAGATTAGACGGCAGCGAATTATCGACTGAACCAGTGACGCATAGAACACGTGCGAACGGCCTAGAGTCCTGATTGGTCCTGATTCCTGTCTAGCCCAGCCAGCTGAGTCCAGAACACAAGTCTCAGCCTCTGCAATATGAATCATTATATTTCAAACATACTCTGTTTATATACCAATCAAGCAAACCACAACGTACCAATAAAATAGAAAATAACATTTGTACAATATTTGGCCAACGGGAAAATGGCACGTAAAATAAATACTGACCAGTAGGGAAACGACACGTGAAATAAGTATTGAGCAATAGGAAAATGATGCCATTCCAAGTTGAAGGATAGCATTAGACTTAACAGGATAATTTTTGGGATATTTTTCTGAATATCCCAACAAATACAATATTATATTGATAAAGAATTTGTTTCTTTTATAAAACACTTTCCAACTATAAAGTAATGAAGAATATCTTCAGCTTCATCATTATATATAGTTTACTTCAGGATATGTGAATGTAATGTCAAACTTTATTCACAAATTCGATAGGTTTAACCACTAGATTTCAATGCCATAACAAAATGAATACTCGAAATAGAAAACTGAACTGATTTAATTATCTATTGATCATGTATATCATTCAGTGTTCATTATGCTAGTTGCCTAAGATCATAAGTATTAGGTTTATTTATTACTATACATTTTGTTATGGTAAAGGATTCTCAGCACCACCTGTACAGTAATGGAACAAATTTATGTTTGTTATACATTGATGTCATGATTGCTCAAGAATATGTTTTATCATCATTTACAAGCGTCTCCCATTGATCACAGAACACGAAAGTTGTTTACCAGTTCAGACGCTATATGACGACTTCATTATTAAACATCCTCAAGTTATATAATGAAATAATCAACTATGAATTCATTCAAAGTTCCATGAGTGCCTACAATCTCTTCTACCTATGAAATGTCTTATTCAAAGTTGCCATTAAAAAGTGCATCACTTTGTTGGTATCAGAATTCAAAATGCAATCTTCATTGGTACACTGAATTATTGAAATGGAAATCCTGGTCCTGTCGATAATGTTCACTGGTATTCATGAGCCAATGAAAGCTCAGAGACAAGAGAAAACTGTGAACACATTGAGGAAGTTTATCAAATATCGGAGAAGTGGGAAATATTTTGCAAAATATTTGTCAATTCATGCAAGCGCTACAACCATTGATAATCATTCTGCATTAAATTTCGTTGACAAAAATAATCCTATGTTTATTTACTTACTTTTCGATTAATTATCCTGCACTTCTTTCAATTCTAGGTCTTAGAGGCCTTATGTTAGCCGTGATGCTAGCTGCATTAATTTCTGATCTAACTTCGATTTTCAATTCTGCTAGTACGTTGTTTACAGTTGACGTTTATTTGAAAATTAGGAAAAAAGCAAAGAATATGGAGATAATGGTTGTTAGTCGGTAAGTTTGATTTCTTTATTTTTCGAATTCATGTTGTACGTCATTTAGGATAGCTATTACTGACCGTGTTTCTTTGAAGCCATTTTTGAATTCACAAAGCACATTTGAAACCACAACGATTGCTTGTGGGAGTGCTGTGAATAATGCATAGTTGATATAACTGACGTAGATCAAAAAGGTTTAAGAGATGAAACTTATAAGAACTGTGGTTATGTTCCGAACTAACAATTCTTCAATTGTTGACCCACAGCGTTTTCTAGCGAGTTAGTTTTCTACGGGATGGGGTCGCTAACGCCATTCCTAGCCCTCTTCCTTTATCTGGGCTTGAGACTGACAGTAACATCGAAGGGGCTCCAAACAACTGTCAACTAACACCAGTATCAGAATTTTCAACACAAATGTCAAAACAGTTCTACTGTATGGAGCAGAAACTTGAAGCAATACGGAAGACATCATCCAGAAGATACAACTGTTTATTAACAGCTGTCTACGCAAAACACTTCGGATCCGTTGACCAGACATTATCAGCAACAACCTACTGTGGGAAAGAACAAACCAGATCACAACGGAGGAAGAAATCGGGAATAAGCGCTGGAAGTGGATAGGATACACATTGAGGAAAGCACCTAAGTGCGTTACAAGGTAAGCCCTCATTTGGAATCGTCAAGACCAAAGGAGAAGAGGAAGACCAAAGAACGCATTACGCCGAGAAATGGAGGTAGATATGAGAAGAATGAACAAGCATTGTATAGAATCGGAAAGAAAGGTTCAGGATAGAGTCGGTTGCAGAATACTGGTTGGTGGCCTATCCTCCACTGAGAGTAACAGTAGTACGTAAATTAAGTAACTAAGTAAGTTGATCCACAATCATGTGGAAAACAATAAAAATTGAAATCACATTTATAAAAATTTCAATAGCTTCTATGTTGTTTTGTTGAAGGCATTATTAATTTTCACATACCACAATCAACACACTTATCATTTATTGTTGTTGAGTCATAGAAACACATTGTCAATTCATAAATATCAAGTTATTCCATTAATATATTTAATCAGATTAGTTTTCTGAATAAATTAACACTCCCCTCCACCGTATAATAGAGTTTCCATGCATTTTTTTTGTTGAAAGTTTGTCCTACAATTCAGTATTGTTTTCATTGTGTTTTTTTCCAGAATATTTATAATTATATTAATATTATTGAGTATTGCATGGATTCCTGTCATTCAAGAATTACAAGGCAGTCAATTATTTATTTATATTCAAGCTATTTCAGCTTATCTTGCTCCACCTGTAGCTTCAGTTTACTTATGCGCTGTTTTAATTAAACGAACTACAGAAAAGGTAATTAATTATTATCTATTCATCAATTCGTTATTGTTTTAAACATTTGTTTTAACCGTTAATAAGATACTACTGACTAACTTCGTGAGGGAATTCTCAGAGTTCTAGTGAGAAGCCGTGAACAGTGGAGTCAATCCGTGTCAGGTAGAGACAGGTATCTACCTCAGTACAATAAAAGATTGTTGCGCAATTTCGTGGATTGGTTAAGTCAGACATTAACGACGTTGGACGCCAGCTCAGTGGTCAAGGCCCTGAGCTTGAATCCTGCGAGCAGGATCATGGACGCGCACTGCTGAGGAGTGCTACAATAGGATGAAACGACTGTCCAGTGCTTCCAGGTTTTCAATGGTGGTCTAACACCAATCAGTCCAAGGTCTCAATCAATACAATAAGATACTGATTAGATATCAGACCTTTTGTCAAAAGATGTTTGTAAACCCTGACAACCCATTTTATACTATTGAATAATGACTAAAGAAAGCATAGTAAATAAACTTTGTGGTATTCGATGAACAGTACACGTTTAGGAGCTACAAACCGAACAGTGTTCAGATTTGGTACAGAGTTTTAAATTCCCAATCTAATCCGGCTGTCATTTCTTACGTTTACTAAGCCATATCATGTTTCGACACACGATGGGTTAAAGGTGGCCATGTCACTATATAATTAGGTTATTAACTATTGATATGAGTGGCGTCGCAATGTTCAGGATTGCGGAATCGGGTCAAAAAGCTTTACAAAGTCGGCGGTTGAACATCACGCAAATCATTGATTTGGACCGCTCACAATATTTTTGATATGTTTACTTTTCATCCATATCCACTGCATATCGGGCTAATCATTATGTGAAGAACTTAACATGGGTAAAAACCAGAAGTCTAAATGTCACTTTTTAGAGTACACATTTTGAACTTAATATATGAGACATTTTAATCTGAAGTTTGTGATGTTGATTCATGCCGGATTGAGACAGAATTCCAACCAGTGATATTTTCTGTTAGTCAATCTCCATCATGTACTGGTTTATTCGAAAACGTGGACTATTTATTTCGAAATTAAGGGATACTCGTCTGAATGTTCGTTTGAAATCAAGTATATGAATTGCTAAGTATGACACAAATTAGAAATAGAAACTATCTAGAATGCCCTGACCCAGTACGTTATCAAGCCATACTGTCATAAACATTGGTAAAAGAATGCCCCAAATAGATATGCGCCACTTTTCATCATCCAATCTGTGTGAGAACTGGGTTATGATACTGCCCGGGCGCCCAGATCGAAGCAGGTGGTTTTATTAGACGGCGACACCCAGAGCCTTCGACCTAAAGGTATAATTCACAAGGCAGTGGAGTAACGTCAGGAGATGCAGTCCCATCGTAGCTGGTCAACAATAATTGATTCATACACCACATATTCCTTCGGGATACTGGAGCCCATTTACACCATTGGTTTAGAATCACGGTTTTCCAACTTCCCTAGATGGACTCTTCCTGTCCATCAACCCAGTTAAAGGGCATGACATTTGCTTTACCTCCTCTCAATTTTGTAAACAATACTCCCACCGCGAGAAAGCAGTGAGTTGAACTTCTCTGGCAGTTACTGAATACATGCGGCCATGTGAAAGCATTTCGAAAGGGAGATTTGTCTCTCCCCACCCTCGGCTGTACTAGTGCGTTTGGAGGCATTTTTATGACAATAAAATACTGTTAACATCTTTTTAGAATTAAGCATGAAATTTTCAAACCTTTCACTAAAAACATTATTGTTTTACATTCACTTGGTATTACTTTTTTGAACCTTCCCATTGGTTTTGGTGGTGTTTTGTTCTCTGAGCTGGATGGTTTGGTCGTGGAACTTTCATCGTTCTTCTGAACGACATCATCCACCTGAGCTACAAATCTTCTCCACCATCTTCCCATTGGTGTTTAGGATTGAAATCGATCAATCTCTTATTGGTATATGTGCATACTGTGTGTATTACTTTTATAAGCAAAGATGGATAGTGACTAGTAGTGGAATCTAGTTTGACACGCGTTTCGTTCTATTTTGAACTCTTCAGTTGGATGTACTTACATCTGAGAGTTGATGTTCACTCCAGGGGACTCGAACCCAGTATCGTTAGCTACTAAATCCATTACTAGCCATTATTCATTTTCTTTTTTGAAAGATATGTAAAAATCACATATTAATAAGTTATTATTATATCTAATAAAGTTTATTCAATTGTTGCTTAACCCTTTTTTTTAATGTAAAGGGAGCATTTTATGGATTAATGTATGGTTTAATTATTGGTTTAATACGATTAATATTAACTATTATATATCATGAACCAATATGTGGTGAATATGATCATAGACCATGGTTTATTAAAAATATACATTATATGTATTTTGCATTATTTTCATTTATCACATGTGGTATTATTGTATGTTTATTATCATTAAATGAAAAACAATTAACTAATGAACAATTACAACATTTAACTTATTGGACTGCATGGGATAAATCCATTAATCATTCATTATATAATAATAGAACATTACATAATCATATTTCATCTAATGAAATGATTCGTAATAATATAGAGAATGTGATGAGTGAGAATGATGTTAATATGATTAATAATGTTCATTATCATCAATATGAAAATAATAATGAAATCATTAATAAAAGAGAAATATCATCAACTTCTGAATGTCAACAACAACAACAACAGCAAAAAGAATTTGTAAATAATAAAACTATGGAAGGTTTGTGTTTCAAGCGTTTTGTTTTATTCAATATATTATATAAATATTACTGGAATTTTAGTGAGAAGTAATGACTAGTGAAGTTTAAATCGGGTCTGTTGTGAGATAATAAGTCATTGAAGACAATGTTGAACGGTATCGCTCAATTTCTTGGATCAGTTGAAGTTAGATATTAACATTGATGTATTCTGGTCAACTCAGTGGTTTAGTGGTTAAGCATTCACACGCTAGGCTAGTGGGTTCTGGGTTCGAATCTCATGAGGCAAGATCGTGGGTGCACACTGTTGAGGAGTTCCACAAAATAGGACGAAACTGCCGTCGAGTGATTCCAGGTTTTCCATGATGGTCTAGTTTTAATTGCCTTATGATCTCAACTATTGAAATTAATATAATATCCACAAAAACCCCTTGTGATATACAATATTTCCCGGTTTAAGATGATTTTTCAATTGATATTAGTCGAAAAATAGTAAACAATCTTAAATTTACCGACTATTCAAGTTATTACTTAAGAATCAAATATTTTTACCAATATTCTTCATAATCAGTTACATTTCAATATTTTCATAATATAAAAGAATAACTAACAGTTATGTCATATATGTACACCATCATATTATTCTGAAGTATTCAGGTATAAATGAGATATTTTATGGATGAATTTAATGTTGTGTATTCAATAGATAATATGGAACTAATAGCTGAATGATAACTTTTGCATAACGTTACTATTTGTGATATTTTCCCGATGCGGAAAACTACCCGGTAATAGTGAGGTTAGACACAGGGTATTAGGGAATGATGGTAAATCAGTTGATGAGGTTGTGAATCTTCATCAACTGAGATGGTTGGGTCATGTGTTACATATACCTGAACACTGATTATCACGACACGCAATGCTAACTAGTTTTGGGGATGGTTGGAAGGAAATTAGGGGTGACCAAAATTCTTTATTTATTTATTTTGACACATAGATATTGGCACAAGGAGGCACCAAATACATATGCGCTACACAAATCTTATTCGATATTTGTGAGGGCTGCGATACTGCCCGGGTGCCCAAACCGAAGCAGGTGGTTTTCTTAGGGGGTCACTCCCCGAGCCTTTGACCTAAAGGTCTGATCCACAAGGCAGTGGAACATCGTCAGGAAATGCAGTCCCATGCAAGCCGGTGACCAACAATTGGTTCATACGCCATTTGTTCCCGCAGGATACTGGGGCTCATGTGCACCATTGGTTTGGGATCCGGTGAAAGCGCCGGACATTCGCTTTTCGTCCTCTCAATTTTGTAAACGACAGTATTGCCACGAGAAGGTAGTGAGTAGGACTATATACGCGTGGCCATGTGAGAACATTTCGAGAGGGAGAGCGGACTCTCCCCACTCTCGACCGTCCCAGGACATTTGGGGGTGGCGACCAAACCAAAACGTGGCATCAGTCCTTGAATTCACTAACTTCTAGTCTTAATCATGTTGGTAGATGCATTCTACTTGGTTGTGGTCCGTGTGACTATCGTAACCAATGGTTGTAGACTGTGAATGACATGGCTCAAAATGGATCATAATGGCGTTGGTGTGTGTATTCTTTGTCTTCCTTTAAACTATGAGATTAAAGTCGCTTCATATCTTTGTACGAACTAATCGTTTCTTCCTGCATTATATCCTCATATGTAACACTTTCTTTTATATATTACTACCATTGACTTAACTACTTTTATGAATTTGGTGTTCATTTTGTTGTGTTAATGAGTGATGTGTGGTAATTTGGACCGATACATATATATATATATATATATATATATATATATATATATATATATATATGCCTGATCCTACGTTATAGCTGACTGACATACTCATTTCATATATAATGATTGTACATCATAACTAAAGTCTATTCTGGTGAGAATTTTCTTTCTTGTTTATTTATTATAGATCATGATTTACCAGATAAAAAAACATCCCAAACTTCATCATCATCATCATCAGATTGGTATAAAATTATGAAAAATATATGTTTATGGTTCTGCGGTTGTGCTGATCATCCATGTTCTAACATAGAATGTAATCATTGTTGTTGTTTAAAATTATGTCATAATTTCACAACTCATATACATCCAAATCATAAGAAAATTTATGTCATCACATCAAGTGATGTTAATATAGCTGATAATGAGAAGAAATTGGGCAACTTAGTATTGGAAGATGATAATAATTTCGATTCAGAAGAACATTATGCAAAGATTACTTCATTAAAACAAGATCCAAATGTAAAATTAGGTTTGTATATTGGTTTATTATTCATTATTATTTTATCTATATTTGGTTTTATATTTTTTTCTATTTATTTTGGTTCTATATCAGTTGGTCCATTACCTATTTCTATTGATAAGATAATGATAAATGATACAATAAAAAATGCTATAAAATCATTAGAAACTCATGGATTAATTACAATACAATGAAGAGATCTTCTTTTGTTTTCATTCTTTTATGAGTACGAATATTATTGAATAGTATAGTTTATTAATAAAATGTTCGCAGCAAATTTGAAATTGATTATAGAAATGTTGTATCCTTTCTTTTTGCCATATTATACATATATATATACATATACATAGATATACTTTCGTTTTCTTGCACTAAACAGATGGGTACCAAACAAGTTACTTTATTTATGAATGGGTTTGAACCAAAGCAGGCGGATTTCTTAGGGGGTCACACGCGGAATCTTTAACCTAATAGCTGATCTACAAGGCAGTGGAGCAATGTAAGGAGATGCAGTCCCATGATAGCCAGGGATCAACAATAGGTTTATGCACCATTTGTTGTTTCAGAATTGTTAATTGAACGCTAGATTTGGTTCTTAAGCTCTTCTAGTAACCTCGAGGCTAGATCCACACAGAGATTTGAACACAAGAGAAAAAGCCCGAAATATGTAAGAAACACTTTACTCCAAAGGTTCGTTTATCTACAGAAAATCTAGGAATTTTATAGTATTTTAGATGTCATTGGATTTCCGGAAAATTTTGGAACGCTACTAAATATAGTGGCAGTATAAGTAATCATCCAATCAGAAAGTTGATATGTGACTTTTCACTTTCTAGATGTTTGTGACAAAACTCCTAGTGAACGCTGATTGGATAAGATGCTTCTCAATGTTTTCAGAGTCTTTCTTGGCTTTTTTCGAGGAATTTTCTGATACTCGTTACGAAGGGTCATGGAGCCCATGTGCACCGTTAGTTTGGAATCGGGGATTTCCATCTTCCCCAAGTGGATCGTCCGTATCTACCAATTCGGTTAAAGCGCCGGACATTAGCTTTTTGTTCTCTCAGTTTCGTGAACAACAGTAATGTGGCGAGAAGCCAGTGAGTAGGACTTTCCTAACAGTGTTTTTATTCACGTGGCCATGTGAGAGCATTTCGAGAGGGAGAGCTGAAACTCCTCACACTCAGCCGTACCAGGTCATTTGAAGACTAACCAGATATAGATGCATATTCACTACACTTAATCTACAAACTGCATGGATGTATGGCGTATCAAGACTTTATTTGCCTTTATTGAATTCATGAACACTTCAATTAGATTAAATGGTTTCATTGGCGAGGCTGCAATCTATGTACGAACCAATCAGATATAAGATAATAGGTCTCGGATTTTGGCGCGAAATTCGTTCACCCTTAATCTAATTTCTAACCTAAACCATAAATCATAACTCGAATTCCTCACACTAATTTATAACCCATATTTGGTCCTAGTTAACAGGTGGACACTCTCAAGGTGACTTTAATGTCGTCCAAAGGATGTCCACAAATTATAGTCTCACCGTTTCATCAAAGTCGATTTACAGAGTTTAGTCTGGTCGACGTTTTTTAGTAAGACTTTTTCCTGCCGGTTAGGGTTGCAGACCCTTTGCCCAAACCTCCTTCTTTAACCGTGCTTAGAACTAATAGTAACTCTGAAAGCGCTACAGGCGGCTTATGCTTCTCCATAAGGAGTAACAGACGTAAGTAAATAAACTTACATAGAAATAAATAATTCAATCAGTGTATATCCATTTTTGCATATGAAAATCATATTAAAATTGAAGATAACTAATCAAATTGATTTGTGACCATTCATATATCTCAAATATATTAGTATTAATATGAATAAACACGTATATAATGAATTGCTTTATAAGATTAAGAAAAATGTTCTATTTTTCGGTGTCAACGTTTTATTACACGTGATCGCTGAATGTTTTTGTTGTCGATAAACTTGGCATTACTTCATAAAAGTAGTTTAGTTAAACAGATTACAGAGAGAGTTAATAATATTGATTTCTTATTCATCATTCATTGAAATGTTTCCATCATAGAGTATTAGTATTGTCAACCTTGAACAATCAGAATTGTTAAAAAAAATTTTGTTAATATTTGCTATCTAATGAAATACATTTGTGTTAAAGTGATTAATTATAAAACTTCTATAGTGTATTGATCAAATGTAATTGACCTCTATAAATATGATTTAAACTATCGAAGCTTGTAGATAGAGAAGAACCTACAATTTTGTCATTGATTGGCGTTTAGGTCTCCCATCAGGATGATCAGGTTGTTTCCTGAGCACTTTGCTATGATTAATTTCATTTTCTCGTAGAACTGATTTTTATTGCTGTCGTTTCTATCAGGTTTGAGAGCACAGACATGCTTACCGGCGTCCGATAATGGTGTATTTTCTTGACTTAAAAGTTACATTTGACTCTGCAGACCGACAGGTTCTGTATCAGTGTCTGTCATTGAAAGGCATACCTCAGAAGTACATAAACCTTGTAAAGGCTCTTTACTCGAACACTAATAATCAAGTGAGAGCTTATGGCGAACTGTCATCTGATTTTGCAATCTCAAATGATGTCCGTCAAGGCTGTCCACTATTTTAATTTTTGTTCAGTTTCATCATAGACCTACTACAGGAAATAACGTTCTCGTCGACCGAATTCTCGGGCATTGATCTCTCTCCAGGAGGTTCACGTATCGACTTAGAATACGCAAATAACATAGTCCTGTTTAAGGAAGACGCTGATAAATGCAGAGTATTTCGGTAGTACTGAGCAACAATGCCAGAATGTTTGGGATGCGTTTCTCCCCCTCCAAATGCAAGTTGTTGCTTCAGGACTGATCTGCGTCAACACCTGAACTAAGGATAGAGAGTGAAGTAGTCAAACACGTCGACAACTTCACTTATCTTGGAATTATGATTAGCCCTAATGGGTTATTGTCCGAAGAAATATCAGCATGGATATGAAAAGCTCGTTTGGCTTGTGTCAACTTACGTCACCTATGGCGAGGGCGAGATATCCGTTTATCAATTAAAGGACGAGTATACTGTGCGGCAGTTCGTTCTGTTCTACTTTACGGTTGCGAAACTTGGTCATTAAGAGTAGAAGATACTCGTAATTTACTAGTATTTGATGACAGATGCCCTAGAAATATTGCTCGTATCTGCTGGGACCACCGGGTAAGTAATGGTGAGGTAAATCGGTTGATGAGGCTGTGAATCTTCATCAACTGAGATGGTTGGATCAAGTGTTACATATACCTGAACACTGATTATCACGACACGCAATGCTGACTAGTTTTGGGGATGGTTGGAAGGAAGTTAGAGGCGACCAAATCAAAACGTGGCATCAATCCTTGTAGTCACTAACTTCTAGTCTGAGGCATGTTGGTAGATGCATTCTACTTGGTTGGGGTACGCGTGACTATCGTAACCAATGGTCGTAGACTGTGAATAACATGGCTCAAAACTGATCGCAGTGACGTAGGTTTATACACTTTATCTTCTCTTAAACTCTGAACTCTACGAACTCATTCTTTCTTCTTGCATTATATCCTTATACACAATCTTTCTTTTATATATTACTACCCTTGAATTAACTACTTCCATGAATTCAGTGTTCTAGAATTCATTATCAATAAAATCATAATCTATTTTAAACGAAGGTAAACCTGAATTGATGGTTTATGTTTTATTTTTTTTAACTAATATAACACTGACGCAGTTTTTAGTGTATTCTAATAATTATCATAATAGTATAACCATGAAATGTATGATAAACTAAATTATGATTAGCTTGCTTTGTGAAAGTTTATGCTGATAACATGCAGTTTTTAGTGGCTTTGTATCATTAATCAATCACTTCGATAACTGTTTTTATACTATAAATTCTCAACGATATTTAAAATCAGATAGTAATGAGAAGCAGCAACTACAGTTTATTAGCGGATAGCGCTGATTATAAAGCTATATGCACATCGAGTGAATTTGAAACGGAGAGACGAATATGTATATACGAGTAATTACGTAGGCAAATTTATAGTCAAATTGCATAAGAGAGCAGCAAGACAAAACACGGACTAATAATAGGATTTTAGTACATATATACATAGAGAGAAGGATGATATTTAAGCGATCAACATTTTAGCTAAAGTATTTCATATGACCTAGTGATTATAGAATAGTACAAAGAAATAGACGAATTGTTACTATCCAAATAAGATTATCTATTAAGTAAGTTAATGTAAAAGGGTTTAACCAATATTTAACCATATAAATGCAGTTCTAAATGATCATTCATTTAGAAGCTTCTACCCCAATGTAATGGTTGCTTTTCAGTGTTCTCAAGGGCCATTGTCATTGGAAGATTGTAAGGCATGTTGTCATTGCTAACATTAATTAGTTTAACTGTCGTGTAAAAGTGGAATAGGTCAACTTTGGCCTGTTCGTGCTGTGCATAATTGATTCACATGATCATTGATCAGAATAACTATACATATGACGTGAATGTGTATATGAATGGTGCGAATGGTCCACTAGAGTACTTGGTACCCGTGTGGTTGCCCCTCAGGATTGAGCTGTACAATTCAGATTGTAGCGTTAAAGCCTATACGGTGTCTGGTTCTCCTGTGAAGCGGGATTGAGTCTTACTATTTGAGCTACAAATTTTAAGCCTGGGCGGTTTCTGGCTCTCCTGTTAAACGGGCTTGAGCTGTACTGTTTAGATTGTCACGTGAAAGTCTGGATAGTGTCTGGTTCTCCTGAAAACCAATGTAAAATTATCCTGACCCACAAAAGTATATTATGTAACTAATCTGAATGCAAAACCATTATAAAGAACACGTTCAAACGATGCCAATTTTTACAATCAACTTAACAGTCTGTAGTTTGTTATACTTGTGTCTGTTATGTCATCTTATTTAATTTCTAATATGTGAGGGTATACGAATAGTTAAAATAGTTTTACTCATTAGTTTATTTATTAATAATATGGCTAACTAATCAAAATAAGAATCAGTTAGTTAAGAAAATCTTTATTTTGACCGTTTATATCAATGAATTTCTGAATTTAATAGTGAAAACTATGTTTATAAATCTATATAAACACTTCTTATAAATATATCAGTCAGTCAGTCAGTCAACAACGCAAAACTTCGTACGTACGTACATACATCAGTTCAAGTTGCAATACCACATAACCCTCAAATTTAGTTTGAGAACTATTATTATTGTGGTGGATCAATATAAAATCCTACTTAATATAAACTTATTGTCTATTGACATTCATTAGCAATGTGAATTTTCT